GGGGCGCTGGGAACCTGCAGCAAGCAGGCGGCAAAACAGCTGCGCCAGGCTCCACAGCTCCAGCATCAGCTCCATGCTGGCGATGACTGCGTGTGCATGGAGCTGATGCCGGAGCTGTGGAGCCCAACACAGCTGTTTTGTAGCCAGCCTGGGCTCTGGGCAGCTGCAGCAAGCAGGCTGCATGCAAACAGCTGCACCGGGCTCCACTGCTCCGGCCTCAGGTAAAAAAAATAAGGTGGGCACAGAAGCAGCTGATATTTCAGAAACAAACTGAAGAAGCCATAGAAAAGGCACAATCCAAAGTTAAGATTGGTTTACATTATTAAATAAACTAACAGGTAAATGAGAAAGCTAGGTGCAAGAAGTTCAAAATGTTAATGGGAACACAAGAAAGTATTAGCTGACTATGCCATAAACATATGAAGTACTCTCTTTTAGATTTGCTGTAACAAGAAGCATCCACCCTCTACTTCTCATTTAAAATCCAAAAGGTTAGAAGCTTTGGAGAGTGAACTATTTGCTTTAGAGACTAAATACTTAAGAGCTAATATAATTTTAGATAGAATGAGCTTAGTTTCACTTTAATTTCAATTTTTTTTTTTTTTTATGAAACCACCTTTCATAAAAAAAAAGTAAGAGAAGTTACTTGGGTGGCTGTTCTCCTTGTTGGGAGTTGCATAGCTACCATGGATTTTCTTTATTACATTTTCTATGGAATCATTTAATCAGGTGTTAAAAGAACTGCTCTTACCTTATGAAAGAGCAGTTCTTTTAACACCTGATTAAATGATTCCATAGAAAATGTAATAAAGAAAATCCATGGTAGCTATGCAACTCCCAACAAGGAGAACAGCCACCCAAGTAACTTTTCTCCCCATAATGAAAGATTTGATGACTCAGGCACAGATAGCATCTTTGTCATGATGAACTGATCAAGTGCAACAGGGAGGGGAGGAGGAAAGGAACGTAGACAGCTAGCTCCCCAAAGCTATTTTCTTGTTTTAGCTCCATTTAAGATGAAAGGTTACCTGGGATATATGATTGATGGAGGACTCCATTCTCCGTAGCTGGGATGCTTGGATGTCCAGCAGTTGGAGTACATTGTTGGCCAGTGCATTGATTTGATAAGCAACACTGGCTAGAGATTGGGTTGTGTATGCTTTGGTCTCTTCTAGTGCTTTCCTTTTATCTGGAGCCTGGAAAAAGAAATGAAAAAAAAGACACAAGGTTTTTTGGGACTTGTTTTTTTGGTATAGCCAGCAGAAAAAACTGTTTTTAGAACTGGTCACCCAAAAGACCTGACTAGAGTATCTTATCTGGCTGGATAATACAGCGTACATCAAGCAGATACTTATAACAACAGAGAAAATAGCTTAAAAAACATGTTTTTGGTTGAATAGATATATCACATGCCAAGAAGCGATTCTTTCAGTGCAGAAATTACCCCAATTCTCTTGAGCAAAGCTTTTTGACCTGCCTATCCTCTACTTCCAAAGAAAAGGCTCCAATTCCGGGGGGGGGGCGCACAGAGAATAAATAAATTAAAAAATCATCATCATCATCATCATCATCAAGCTTTCCCTATCTTTTGAGATCATAAATTCCAAACCAATAGGAAGGGGAAAAAATATTTTCCCACAGCTGGGTGTCCCCCAAAGCACATGCTCTCCACAAAACCAAACTCACAGCTATGCTGGCTCTTCATCTCACAGCAAGGGAGGCAGGAGAGCAGCATCAGGAGGTCATGCATATTAGGCTAGGGACAGAAGTTACACAAATTGGTTTAAATCTGTAACAGAACTGGTTTATGTGCACTCAACTTCTGTTTCAAAATGGCTGAAACTGGTTTAAGATAAACCTGGCTGAACATAATATCAGACTTAACCGATTTGGATCAAACTGGTTTATGGAACTGCTGTCCCAGACCCCTTCCTGGTTTACATTAAATCAGAGTCCGCCAGCATCCCAGCATGCTTTTCAGCTCTGAGATGGGCTTTGCTGTCTGCTCCATAGAGCATGGCTGGGCCCACCCCTGTGCTCTGTAGCCAAATCAGAGGCATGGGTGTGGCTAGCCTGCCTTGCCTGGGGCTGAGGCTGGGGG